TAGCTCTGTAGCGCGTGGGCTGCACGACTTAGCACTAGTTGCAATCGATTTTTTAGGATGGATTTGTATATATTTCGCTAAAATTACACCTATTCAGAAAAACTCGAAGTTGGTGAATAGCAGAGAGTGTTATTATTATCATTTCATTACAGTTTAACTATCTGCAGTTAGGGACTACATCTTATTATATTCCGCCACCGCAGATCGTATGCAATGGCTAGGTTTGGCTTTCTAAAATTGTAATTGGTTCAAAGTTGATGCATGTAATTGGTGCCCACCTACTTCATGTTTAGCCTGAGTTTTATTAATTATTGGATTCGCTGAAAGAAAAGAAACAGAGCCGGTTTCATCGCATCATAGAACGGGAGTGAGCGGTTAGCCTATCGCCATCGTTGGCGTACGACGCTGGCAGCACTGTGAGTACAGAAATGGATTACTAGCAACCTACAGATTATCGAACTGCCCACAACTCGAGACAGCGCCATGTCCTGCAGCTCCGTCGCAGCACAAACGCAAAGACCAATGGTCTCAACGACGAAGTTAAGATTGGGGTCAGGTTGAAATTTGCGAGCGGCACAGTAGTCCGGCAACGTCTCGCACGCTGTGACCCTCCACATGTTACGTAGTTGGGGATAATTTATTAGTGGCTGGTATGGCCTTGGAAATGCACACCTTGGGACACAGAACATGGATTCGAGCTGTTAGGCCACATCCTGATTGGTTGGAATGTGGCACGGTGGGAAGGATTGCGGCACAGCGGCTCAGGCTGAATGCTTCAAACTGCTTACGGGCCCGTGAGACGTTAGCAGTTTGTGGGCGTACTTGGAATCGTATTGCATGATGACACCAACCCCAGTCGTCTTGCACTTAGTGCTGATACTTACGATTCTCTTCCCTTCACTGCTCAATTATGACATGCTCATGTTTGGATGCTGTATTGCGGTGAGAAATGGCGTTAAGTGGTGCCAAGTCATTCTGATCATCGTATAATAAACGCCGCTAAAGTCGCACGGCCGGCTCGTCGCGTTTTGACGATGTTGTCGCCAGCGCGGAGTGAGTGAGTGAGTGAGTTGTATTTAACGTCTATATATAAAGCCTCCCTTGGGGCATGTAGACGGGCTATGCCTATGACTTGCCGTACTATG